TCAAGGAATTCGCTTTTGAGAGGCACAGCTTTACAGCAGCATGTCGTATATCGTACCTTCAAATCATCGATAAGTGCTACGTCGAGTACGTTACATTCGAGAAAAGAGCTGATGCAGGATGAACTGGCTAAATTCAAGAAGGACGAAGTTATTCACGGGTTTATAGTGAATGAAGTCTCAAGCATAGATGAGTTGTTCCTTACTGCAGTGAGGCTAACTCATTTGAGTACAGGTGCGCAGTATCTGCATTTGGCCAGGGATGATACCAACAATGTCTTTTCCATTGGATTTCGTACGACTCCCATGGATTCCACGGGATTGCCTCACATACTGGAGCACACCACTCTGTGCGGCAGTGAGCGATATCCCTGCAGAGATCCATTCTTCAAGATGCTGAGGAGATCCATGGCCACTTTCATGAATGCTATGACCGGGCCGGACTATACCATATATCCATTCTCGACGCAGAACTTGAAGGACTACCGCAATCTACAGTCAGTCTACTTGGACTCGGTCTTCAAACCGAATCTGCGAGAATTGGACTTCCGACAGGAAGGATGGAGATTGGAGCACACGGATGTCAATGACAAGAACTCTCCTATCATATTCAAGGGGGTGGTCTTCAACGAGATGAAGGGTGTCTTCAACGACAATCAAGCCATTATGGCGGAACGTTTGTTGAATTCGATTCTACCAAGCCACACGTATTCTGTAATTTCCGGCGGTGATCCCCTCGTCATACCTAATCTACAATACGTTGATCTCCTTAACTTCCACATGAAGTACTATCATCCCTCCAATTCGCGCTTTTATTCCTATGGAAATTTCCCTCTGGAGGACCATCTGAAATTCATCAACGATCGGTATCTTTTCTTATCTGATAGGATGGACGTTTCCATGTCAGAAGTGCCGGCGGAAAAGCGGTGGAATGAAACTAAAAAGGAACATGTTGCGTGCAAACTCGATCCATTGCTCGCGGATCCTAGCAGACATGGCACTATTGCCATCGCGCATTTGTGCAACGACATAAGTGACATACAGACCACTTTCGAGATGTATGTATTGTCACAGCTGTTGCTGAGAGGTCCGAATTCAGCGTTTTACAAATCTCTAGTCGAGTCGCATATAAGTACCGGATTCGGACCGTTCACGGGTTTCGATTCGCAGTGCAGAGACACGATGTTCGTCGTGAGTCTGCAGGGCGTGAAGCCGGAAGATTTCGAGAAAGTCGAGAGTATCTTCGACAAGACTGTGCAAAAAGTTATCGAGGAAGGATTCGAGAAGGATCACATCGAAGCTGTCTTGCACGGCATTGAGCTCCAGGTGAAGCATCAAACGTCAAACTTCGGGTTGAATTTGCTCTTCAATCTGACATCATTGTGGAATCACAATGGTGACTTGGTACAGTCGTTGCGAATCAACGATGCGATGAAGAAACTCACATCACGAATGAGAGAAAATCCTAAATACCTGCAAAGTCTAATCGAGACTTATTTCAGGAACAATAATCATAGATTGACGTTAACGATGTCGCCGGATGAAAATTACGAACAAAATAAAGCGCTCGCCGAGCAAGAGCTGTTGAAGATGAAGTTGAAGGAACTTTCCGTAGAGGAGAAGGAACAGATATATAAAAACGGAAATATCTTGCTCGCTGAGCAACAGAAAAAAGAGGACGTTGAAGTCTTACCGACGCTGAAGATAGAAGACTTGAAGGCTGACGTGGAGAGATATAAGACCACCAACTTGGAAGTATCCGGAGTGCCTCTTCAGCTCTCCATACAACCCACGAACGGGATTTCCTATTACCGAGGAATACTCAACACACAGGCGTTGCCGACCGAACTGAAGCAGCTGATACCGCTGTTCAACTACGTTATCTCGAAGATGGGCACGCAGAATTACGATTATAGGAGTTTCGATCAGATGATGCAGTTAAAGACTGGCGGTCTGAACTTCATGAATCACATCGCCGAGCACAAGGAGAGCGAATTGAAATACGAGGAAGGGATTCTCATAGAGTCGTACTGCTTGGATCGCAATTCGAACGATATGTGGAAACTGTGGAAGGAGCTGTTCAACAATGTTAAACTCACCGATCTTCAGAGATTCGAGACACTCGTGAAGATGAACGCGGCCGACTTGATCAACGGCATCTCGCACGCCGGTCATATGTATGCGATGAGCAGCGCCGCTAGCTTGGTCTCCCCGATAGCCCGGGCCAAGGAGAGTCTCTCGGGATTGCAGTACATCTCAAGGATGAAGAAAGTGGCACAGATGCGCGACTTGACTTCTCTGATGCACAATATGCATGAAATAGCTGCTCATGTCTTGAATAAGGAACACCTACGATCAGCCATTAACTTGTCCGAGGAACATCAGGATGATGTTCTCAATGATATTCACGTGTTCTACGATTCGCTGAAGGGTCGTCCAGAAAATCCGTACATTATTACCAGTGATCGAAGCATCGATACGAAAGAATGTGGCAATCACCACGTTCTGCCGTACACAGTGAACTATTGCTCCAAGGCCATTCTGACCGTTCCTTATACGAATCCGGATTATGCGGTGTTACGTGTGCTGTCCAAGTTAATCACCTCGGTGTACTTGCATCCAGAAATTCGGGAGAAAGGCGGAGCTTATGGTGGAGGCGCAAAATTAACGTCGGAAGGAATTTTCTGTTTTTATTCCTACAGAGATCCGAATTCCACTCGTACCTTCGATTTATTCGATAAGGCTTATGATTTTATAATAGGATATCCGTTATCCCAGACCGAAGTAGACGAAGCAAAATTGGGAGTCTTCCAACAAATCGACGCTCCCATTCCTCCTAGCAATCGAGGTATGACCAGATTCGTAAACGGCATTACGGACGATGATCTTCAAAGGCAAAGGGAGCAACTAAAAGCTGTGACTAAGGAACAGCTCTTGTACGTGGCAGAAAAGTATCTACAACCCGACCAAAATGCTATCAGAATCGGCCGTTCTCTTATTGGACCTACAAATACGGATATTTCAAATAGGCACAAAGAAAATTGGCTAGTGCTAAATCAAGAAGAAACAGACCGAGCACGAGCTACTGACTAAATAGATGTTAAAAAATTATTTTTGTTACTTTTTTATAATGAAGACAGTTTCCTATACGTTGAACCGCAGATGTGTCGATGCTGTTGTTAAGCGTTTCCTGTGACATATAAATATTAGTAATTGAGAAAATAGCGTATAAATTACTTAATAATACATGTTATTATATAATTTATGCTATTTTTATGTATTAAATATATCTCAGTTAAGGGATATAAAATAAATATTTTGCTTAATTTAGCTTTTTCTCACCTTCATTCATTCTTACATATAAATACATGGATCAAATTACATATATACTACAAGTAAAAATGTAATGAACTTTCTTTTTTTTTAGTTAAATGATACATGGATATCAATGCTGAAAAGAAATATTTTGTCGAAGCACTATGCTTCTTTTACGAAATGCAGTGGCTACATAATATACCAGTAACCGAAATATTAATTAAATCGTCTTTAGATGCAGTCCCTAAAGAATGGCTGAAACAGTTACAAATTTTAGAAAATGAAGAACTTAATAATTTCGTAGTGGAAAAAATTATAAAGGTTAGCTAAGAAATCTCATGCGAATATTCTGCAACAGATTATTAAAATTATTAAGTGAATTAATTATTGTTCTAGTCCGATTGGCCTGATTCCTTAAAAACATATGTTGCAAAATGTAAGAAAATTAATAGACTGCCACTCGTACCTGCATTGCCTTCCATAGAACTGCCGCAAAATTTTAAGATAGGTCTAAGCGAAAAGAAACAACATGAAATAATGCATTTGGCTTATTTAGTGGACATACAATGCAAGCTGCATGATATACGAACGGTCATTGATTTGGGTGCGGGTTTGGTAAGAGAATAATATTTAAAAAAAAAAAGATATAAATATATCAGATTTTCATGCTACAATACAATATTCTTTCCAGGGATACGTATGCCAAATGTTACATTATTTATACGACTATCAAGTTCTAGGATTAGAAAGAGATAAAAAGAATATTAGCAGAGCTTTTATTAGACAGAAAAAACTGTATCCCGATTCTTTGACTAAAGTTAAATATACGCATTGCGATGTAACGTGTGATTCAGCCAATGCAATAGAATCTATTTTACGGCAAGAGTTTCCTGACGTTACAGACGTATGTCTACTCGGCCTGCACGCCTGCGGAGACCTCAGTACAAGCGCATCAAGAATCTTCTGCAAAATGAAATCTGCTAAACTTTTCATTCTGATTTCTTGTTGTTACCACAAACTTTTGATTTCCAAAAGTGTGCAGGAAAAACAATACTTTCAAAATTTTCCCATATCCAATTGTCTGCGAGAAATAATCGCGGCATATAATTTTGACGTAGGACAGTTCTTAAGAATACCCTTTTTGCGATTAGCATGTCAAGAATCGGCAGACAAGTGGCACGGAATGTCGCAAAAGAAGCATAATGAACATTCCTTTTACGTTCTCGCTAGAGCCGTCCTCGAATTGTATTCACGACAAAGTAGGTATTCAATATCGTACGACGTATGTATATTCGATAGATTAACGGAAGATATATTCTAGATAATTACGTTCTCAGTAAGAAAGTTCGGAAAGGCACGAGAAAGTCGCAATGCTCGAATTTTCAAACTTACATCAAAGATTCGTTATTAAGATACGATTTAGTACCAGATACGGACAAAACAGGTAATTGATAAATCAGTACTTAATAAGATTAATAAATCACATAATGATATATAAATAATATGGAGCCTTCATGTATGAAGACAATGTAATTACACGTGAAGAAATGGAGAAGGGTATAACGCAAGTATGGGAGGAACAGAGTAGAAGATTGAAAGCCGTAGAAATCTACACCGGATTACAAATGATGTTACAACTTCCGGCGGAATCATTTATTCTACAGGACCGATTATGCTGGTTGCACGAACAAGGCTTGGAGGCTGCTATTGTGCCTGTGATGAACAAGTGTATTTCTCCTCGCTCATACGCGATCGTGTCTCATAAATACTGAAAATTATTATAATTTAATAAATATTAAGTATGAAAAGAGTATATAATTTATACCGTATTTAAAACTGTGAAATTTTTAATTTATAATATGAAACTTGAGAATATATTTAAAACACTTTTTTAATAAAAGACGTTATTCTCGATAACACACATTGTGTATTATTTTCATTATCATATTATGTCTTGTACTAAAATCATAGATTACACCAATGATTAAATTATATTGAAATTATTCTATATGAAAATTAGAAAGTTAGAAACGTACCGTATTTGAAATATCAATCATTGTATAATACATCTTAAGTGACAGAGATGCTACAATATTCTTATCTATAAGGATGGATTTGTGATGCTGCTTTGATATTAGTTTTTATTGCACTTGGCGCCTTATTCATTTGTCCCACTATAAAGTATTAATTTAAATTATTATGAGCATATATAATTACGAGAAAAAAATGGAAATTCTCGGAGAAACATTTACTTGGTGGATTACCCAGTGGCCCTTGCCCCGTCGTTTGCTGCTGATTGCCAGGTCTGCCTACCATCATGCTGTTAGCTACTGGATTTACGCCAGATTGAACCATTTGTATCGAATCAGACTGTGAACATGAAATAAGAACATATTACATCCGATATGTATTAGGATAGTAATAATGCCCATACAATAGCTCTTTTAAAACTCAGATAAACTCTTTTCTTCTGATTATAACTTACTTTCAAACCTTTGCCCATCCCTACAGCAGCCAGAAGAGCGTGAGTATCCGCAGCGCTGCTGGTCTGCGCTTGTGTCGCTCTGGTGCTAACTTCGCCCTCCCAATCTTCGCGTGCCTTATTCGCTATGTCCCACACATGGCTAATCACCTTTGTATACTGCGCCAGTTGTTTCTGTAACCCAACAGAAGCATGCGACGAACTTAATAAGCAGCAGCATCGATGTGTTCCACTCGCTAAATGGACCGTTTAAAAATCTCTGCATAGCGAACGTTTATCTGAGACATCAAACATCTATGGCTATTTATGTAGCTACAAATAGGCTTGCATACATAACATCTCAGCCCAAAGCGAATGGAACCGACAAAGCTGAAGCTATCTGATTTAGCAGCTTACATTGTAGTCCTAGTTGTGGTTTAGTTAGCACGTTAACAGAAAAATAAAACATCTTCAGTTAGCTTCAATGTATCTCTATCTTAATAGATATTGCATATACTTAATTGTCATCAGATACATTCTTAAAAAGTTCTAGTTTTATCGCAATTACGTATCTGATATTTGAATATTTCCAATGAGTTTCACTTGACTTGAGGGAGAATTTGATAAATTAAATAAGAAGTATTAAACGCTTTCAAAATTTTCCTACATCCAATTGTCTGCGAGAAACAATCGCGACGTATAATTTTGATGACGTAGGACGGTTCTTAAGAATATCTTTTTTGCGTAGAGTATATAGAATTATTTCTTACATGTGATGTATCGATGTTAACGTTTGCGGCCTTGGCTTCTAATTGCATCATCTTTTGCTCGGCTTGGGGCTCCAGCTTTGTCCTCAGATAATCCGGGACTAGATCATGCGCAAATGTAGGGATTCGATTCTCCGTGAGTCGTAGCAATTCCTCATCCTTCTCCGGGCTCAAGCGTAATGGTAAAACTGTTAGACCTCTGAGATTTAAAGCTTTGTCGTGTCCGAGAACTTTTGAGAGGCTGGTCAGCTGTACAAATGACATATTAAGCATAATTTGGAGATATAATGTTTTAACATACAAAATAGATGCTGTTCTGTGATTAGAACTACTAAAGCAGTCCTAAAACTTGTAATTTTTTATCAAATATGTAATAATCTGCAATATATATTATAAATGATTAATCAATTTAGGAAATTGTAAGATTTATGCAAAAATATTATTAGGCAAAAAAATCCTGCTTTTTTAACCGCATATGATCTTTGCTTATTTGTATTAATTAATTTACTTTTCCTTTTTATTTTTTTGTCAAAGATATATACAGGATGTCCCAGAATGATCGCATTTCCTCTTAAGAATGTATTCTTTAGGTAATTTTGAGACGAAAATCCTAATACAAAAATGTCGAGGCTACAATAGTTTTTGAATTATAATTGGTTCAAGATAGTTTGTAATTCGAAAACTTATTGCCTCGTATTTTTGTATTAGGATTTTCGTCTTAGAATGTTTAAAAGAATTCAGAAATAATAATAGAGCCTATAAAAATAAAATGGCTTTTGATTTAGAAGCATTTAAAGTTAGCTTATAATTAAAAAAATTATTGTAATCTTGATATTTTCGTATTAAGATTTTTGTCTTAAAATTATCTCAAGAATACGTATCCATAAAAGGAAATGCGATCATTCTGGGACATCCTGTATACAGTATATTTAAATAAAAATAGGTATTTAGAGACACGGCGCTAAGCATGGTATATTAATACATCAGTTTTAACGTTAATTAATTTAAGTAAAATAGGATACTTACATGACCCGAGATAAGAGCAAAATTGTCCAGGAAATTCGGCCAATTTAAGGTCTCGTATTCATGCTCCACCTTGAATATCATTGCAGAAATCGCGTTCTTCAGATCGTTCACTCGCATTATTATGGCTTCTAAAGCCGAGTCCTGTTGTTTCTCCTCCCTTTGCATTGCACAATTTCTATTACTAAATGCGACGGATATGCGAATTTCACTCTATTCTTTCGTTCGTCGCCGCGAAATTACGCAAAATGTGGAAATGTATCTCATTCATCTAACTCACGCTTGTCGACTTCACGCCTCGCACTTTATACACCTCACTTGATTTCACGTTCCAAATTGGAACTTCCAATCTCCTTCCTTCGGGGCTCGAGCTTCGACAGCCGGTTGTCTAGTTGTATACAGTATGTTCAATATCTCAAACCTAACCTATGCTGGATTCAGAATTTCAGATCAGGAGGTCTATTTTTGAAAAGAACCGTATACGAAGTCTATGGAAATATTACAGAATACGTTACGTATACTATAGTATTTTCCTAGTTTTTCGTATACGTTTCTTTTCAAGAATAGAGCCCCAATTCAGATTCTCACTCGAATGTCACCCAGGTATCACTCCATCCTTGTTTACCGAACGTTAAACAAGGATGAGATGATATGGTAGGAATGAACACACCCCTACATACTGAGACTAGGGAATTTGAAAAATAAAATTTGTTTTTTACGACTGACCTTGTATACTTAAAAAAAAAATGAAATGGGTATATGTTTGACACTTTGGCTAAAATAAAAAGAAGTTTAATGGCAGGAATAAAAAACAAGTGAACGCAAAAAAATAACACGAGATTGGCGTGACTTGACCGTGACAATGGCTACGTTTACACCGTACGCTTAGTCCGCAACCTTTATGATAGATGTCTTTGTTTAATATACAGGATAAACAAGGACGTCTATTGTATAGGCCGCGGCCTAAATACAATAAACAAAGGCTACGTTTACACCGTGCATTTAGGCCGCGGCCTATACAATAAATGTCCTTGTTTATCCTGTAGGTTAAACAAAGACACCTATCGTATAGGTCGCGGACTAAGCGCACGGTGTAAACGTAGCCAATGCAAGGTTTATTTTAGGCGATTTTTAGCGTATTTTTGGTATAGCAACCGAAAGCAACCGCGGTTGGGGCTATCTTTGTCTTCTGATCCCTGAAAACGAAGATAACCTTAGTTGCGGTTGCTTTTGGTTGTTATACCAGAAGCTCGCCAAAAATCGCCTTTTTTAATTACAATTGAGCTAACTTTAGTCAACTTTTCGTCTCTTCTCTTTTTTTCTCCAACATTCAATTATACGTCTATTTCATTTTAAGTGCGTAAAGAAGCGTAATGCATCATCCACAATATGCAAAATAAGTTGATGTAAGAAGTTGACCAATTACAGCCGAATGTGAGAGAAACAATCGACTGTGATCGGTCAATTTCTTACTTAAGTACTTCTTAGGTATTGAAGATTGAAATTGAAGATTGAAAGATTGAAATTTGACCAATCAAAACAATAGGAGCTAAAATTCCTTTGTCCTTACTGGTCAAATTTTAATCTTCAATCTTCAATCTCCATCTTCAATGCGTAGTCTGATTAGGCCTTATATCAAACTTACTCTGCATATTGCAGACGACGCATGACGAAGCGCAGCTACGAAAAACAAAGAGCTTGTCATCGTGGGTCAGCTGTTCGTCAGCTGATCACCGTGTATACGTAATCGCTCGGGATTACTTGCGAGAATTATTAATCATTGTTTAATTGCAACTCATTTTCGCATGGGACGACATTGATGCATAACGTGATGAAGTCTTTTCGCGAAGCCCTCGCAAACGCCAACAACATCCTGATCCTCACCGGCAGCGGGATCTCTGCAGAGTCCGGAGTACCGACTTTCCGGGGTGCCGGTGGTTTTTGGCGCAAATACCAGGCGACGAGTCTCGCAACGCCGCAGGCTTTCGCGGCGAATCCTTCATTAGTTTGGGAGTTCTATGAATATCGTAGGCAGTTAGCGAGCAAAGTCAAGCCAAACAAGGTAATTCGAAGAATAAAAATATCAGAGAAACAAATATCAATATTACAAAAGCTTTCCTTGCATCACAATATTCACGTCTAGTTTTAAGGAGTTTTATGAGTCTGGAAAACAATAGTAAAATGTATTATTCTTGTCTTTTCTTTTTGATTCCTAGGCACACGAAGCTGTGGCAGATTTCCAGAAACGCAAGACAGTGGAGGGTAAAAGGGTGTCGATCGTAACGCAAAACATAGATAACCTGCATCAAAAAGCCGGAGCAACGGATGTACTGGAACTGCATGGTTCACTTTATAGAACACGTTGCACCAAGTGCCGCAACGTTGCTGTTAACGAGAACATTCCCATCTGCCCGGCGCTAGCAGAAAAAGGGTACGTATAAATTCTGTAATATAATCGCAAATAACATGTAATGCAAGACAAAATCTTCTTGTCGATCTGATGATAATGTATCTAAGCAGATCTCCTGATCCGAATATTATGACTTCTGATATTCCAATAGAAGAATTACCACATTGCGAAATCAAAGATTGTGGAGCATTACTGCGACCTGACATTATATGGTTCGGAGAACAGTTAAATGCAGACGTGCTGGGGAAAGCCTGTGCGTAATTTTATTTAACAAAAACGCAACTGTACATTCAAAACATGATAAAATAAAATTCTACTCATAAAATATCGTATAAAATAAGTGAAAAAAAGCGGAGTCTTTGATTAAAAACATAGCAATATTGTGTGTAAAATATATACATCAATACAAAAGAAAACTAAAATATTTATCATTCACTAATTTTTTTAAACTGTAGATGACATTGTGGAAACGTGTGATGCTTGCCTGGTTATAGGAACCTCGGCGATCGTATATCCAGCCGCTATGTTTGCACCGCAAATAGCGCAACGTAATGTACCAGTCGCAGAGTTCAATATAGAGGAAACGCCAGCCACAAAACAATTACAGTGAGTATAGAAACTCCTTTGTCAATAAAAAATTTCTTTTAATTACCATTTAAGAATATTCGCTGAAATAACTAAAGTTCTTATAGTTTAAAGATAAAAAATCTATAGATCTATATAAATAGATATCACAATATCTTGACAATATAAAATATAGTGTCTTTATCTTTTTCATGCATGCATAAAATATAAAATATCTCTATAATCATTTGTGGAGTTATATCACAGCTTCCTCATGTTTTCGTTTACGCCCTCGAGAATGACTCGCATTTGACTGTAATAAAAAAAAGAATATGTTACGTTGCATATTACATCTGTTTTTTTTTGTTTTTTATTCTTGTGTTCCACTAGACTAGAGCTTTCTTTCTCGCTTTCGCCAAATATCAAATATATACTTATTTCACTCTAAGTTCCAAATATGTACATTAATTAATTTAGAATACAGAAACTAGATATCAGAAAATAGATTATCACATTAAATCATGAGTCAATTTTTTTGAAAAGCGAATTATTTTACAGATATCACTTCCAAGGTCCCTGTTCTATCACTGTGACAGAAGCACTGGCGCCTTAAAAGGATTGATATATATAATAAAATAATTGAGTGTTTATAGTATAAAAAATGATTACCTCACAGTAGCATACTTCTGTATTCAGTCCAAGCTTATTTAAGTAATCCAACCATAATGTTTGTTTAGTTGACAGTGTATCATTCGGACCTTTCACTTCTACAATTTTGTACTAAAAAATATATTAGGTTATAATTTTATGGAATTTACGTTCAAATTAGAATATAAGGCATTATTAAGATCTATTTTGTATGAGCTCTTAAAATTGTACATAAAAAAAAAGATTGACTTGCCTGTTTTGTATTTACATTCCATACAATTATATCTGGAAAACCAGCTTTCCAAAGTGAATAATTATGAATGAGTCGTTCGCATATTCCAACAACACCTTTTACACCTAAGCAAAACACTACTTCCTGAAAAACAAGTGCGATATTTGTAATTTATTTTATTGAAATTTATTAATTAGCTGGTAATATTTATTAGTTACCTGGTAAGTATTTATTACTTACCTTGAAGCTGTTACTGTCGTCAAAAATATTGCCCTGAGAAATAGAATTGTACTTAGAATGTACCTCGAATTCATTCTGCAAATGTTTGCTCAATTTTTCCGAATCGTAACTTCGGATATCTTGAAGCTTCTTGTCTATTTCTTCTTTTCTATTCTCGTAAAATTCCGACGTATACAAATCTAACGGTGCATCCTGATACGACGACACCCACGCGCCGGAAACGTTTATGTTATAAATTTCGTTCCAAAATAATGTAGCGAACAGGGTGATTGGAAAGGCACCTTCACAGTGCACGCCTTTGATATATCCCTCGTTCTTGTAGTGATACAATGCCAGACTTTCAACCGAACCATATACTTGATCTATTCCCCTGCTGATACACCAAGTGCTCTTTCTCTGTGAAGTATTCCTGACAAGATATATAAGAGATGTATATGTATATCTTAATCTCTATTTAAATAGTTTAATTTAGTTAAAATTTCATTTATATCTTACCCGCATGCTGTTCCTTCTATTATTTTAGAATTCTGAAATGTAAGTTGTTGTATCCTGCTAAATGAAGTGTTCAATATAATTTTAACCTCGTCTTTTATTGTTTTTTCGATGCCGGATTTTCTTTTATAAATTTTTTTTGCTCTGTCCAACAAGTCGAATTCATCAACTTCTGTCAGGTTCTCATATAACACTGCTTCTGATAAGAATATGAAACTAGCTTTAAGATTTTTCCTGTGAAACATTTCTATCTTAATCAATTCATTGAAACATTGGCCTTTTCTATGTTTCATATGACAATTCTGCTCTATTAATATTCGCAAAAATTTTATCGCCTGTGATAGCGTTTCCTTGGACTTTTTAAATGCATCAATGCTTTTCCGCAAGACTTTGAGCCATATGTAACCTGGCATAAAGTGCCTAATGTGATGAGGCAGACTAGAATCTTCAAAACTGCAAAATGAACACAGTATAAAATAAATTTACTTTACAATGATCTCATTTTTAATAAATATATATTCCATCAATTACATTTTTCTTACCTTTTCGACTCTACTTCTAAAAAGAGTGGTAAACGTTGCTCAGCTAAAGTTCCAAGATTCCGTACGGTATCCCATTGTTTTTTCTCAATTGCAGTTAATATATTAGTTAACGCATTTTTAGCTTCAATATAACTGTAAGATATATATAAGATTCGAATTAAAATAAGATTCAAAAGTGATAAAAGATATAATGAATCATAAAATAAGGCAATAAATTTACTCTAGCAAATGTATTTTATTGACGAAGATAGGCAAGTCACTTATGGTTACTTCTGGAAACTTTAGCTCATTCGCCTCAACGTTCCATAACGTTTGGAATACATCCACAAATGTCTCATTAGGATTTCGATTAGGTATCAGCAACGTAATTATTCTATTAACCAATTCTTTTACTTTGTCGTTCAATAATATGCAATCCCCTAAACGCTTGATGACCAACGCGCGTAGCATAGTGGCAGGAGTCGCCATCCCGGGAAACAACGATTTAGTTTTTTTGCAGAATGCCAAAAGTGATTGTATACCCAAATTTTTTCTACGAGCGCTGATCTTTAATTCCCGACAAATCTTGCTAATTTCATCGGCTTGCAGCAAGTTCAGTAAAACGGATAGGTTTTCGTCATTCATGTTATTTTTAAACATAGATCGTGATACAAGCTCATCAAAAATAGGCTTCAAATCATTGGATATCTCATCATATTTAATATTGCTTATCCTGTGCCACATATGCTTCCTTTTCAGCATACGTATCAGTAATGCTTGTGCTCTTCTTTGAAGAGTAATCATAGAAAATACGATATCCAGTTCATCCTGATCAAAATATCCGCAATTGATTGGCTTAGAGAATACAGTAATAATAGCTAGGAAGAAAAGCTGTGAATTCCTATCCGTAGGTACAACTACATCGTTAATTTCGTATTTTGTCGAAACTGTAGTGTCTATGGGATTGTATTTGTAGTTAAATCTCTTACTCGAGTAAACTTTTTCCAGATCAATGTCATTGTTAGCAATGGCTCCTTCTTTGGCTAAATTTAAATTACTTATCGTTGCGGATATCAGTTGCAGTTCCTCGATTCTATCATTGAATAATTTCCTTCGTGCTATCATTGCGGATGGTGACTTGTTTAGTGCGTTTTTTATTGGAGACGACGTCTTTAGCGTAAACTTTGTACCACTGCGTGATGCAGTACGTTGTTGACTTCCAACATATATATCAGGAGAAGTACATTTAATAGTTGGCGACATTGTTTTATTTTCTGTAATTTTAGTTGGACTATTCTCGATTCTATTTTCAGATAATTTAGTTGGATTGTACTTGGCTTTATCCATGAACAATTTCCTTCGCGGTATCTTTGTGGGTGGTGATTTGTCTAACGCGTTTTTTGTTGGAAATGATGTCTTTGGAGTGAACGTGGTGGACTTCATACCACTGTGTGATGCAGTACATTGTTGACTTCCAATATATATTATATCAGGAGAAAAATGTTTAGTGGTTGGCGACATTACTGTCATATTTTTTGTAATTTTAATTGGTCTGTTATTCATATTAGCTTTGAAAGGAGATGTCCCACTGCCTAACGAGACATTACCATGCATTCCATTTTGTTTTTCGTTCATTTTATATGGGCTTTGCTTAATGTTCTTATGTACAGTTCTTGAATTGCCTGATACTCGTCTACCTTTCTGTATAATAAGAAAAAAATAAAATTTAATATATTATTACTCAAATTGTTATCATGTTCATTAGACAACTAATGACAATTATAACTTACCGTCCTACCAATAACTGGGCTTCTAGTTCTTGCATTAGACGACTCTTTGATGCCATTTACACTTTCAGATTTCTTGTTACTATTTGTAACTTTATAATACTGATCTATTCTGGTTTGTGTCATCATTAGAGGAAAAATGTTCAGCTTAAAGTCAAACCATCTCTATGGCATGCTGACAAACTAGTGTAAATTACACTATTTATATCATGCTGATGTCTCACTGGAATAAACAAAAGAGACCCAAGCGCAGACACGACTGCAAGCACATTCTCGGACACCTGGAGGAACGAACGGAGGATCACTCTGCATTAACCATTTTCTCTCAATCCTTTTTTATTTCGTTCGTACATTATCCTATCCTTAAAAGTAGAACTTAATTTAAACCATAGCGTATCGACCAAGGAAATTACAGTATTTACACAGTCCATACAAATCACCGGCGGATACAAGTGTGTCGTTTGTCTAAGCCATACAGATCCAGAATGTGGATCGTGTCGCGATGAAACCTAAGTATCGACGGCGTTTTAATACTCTGTCTCTTGCAACTCTTCCCGTAAGTTTAAAACTACTGAAGGACGTCCGGGGGTGTGTAAAGCCTAACGAAACGGTGAGTTTCGTCATCCTCGCCTTACCTTAAAGATAAAGATCCAGAAGTCGCGCGTACGCCGTAGGAAAGACTAAAGGGATTGCGAATCTGCGAGACGCGTCTCGACGTCGAAAACACCTGTATAAAATCAATCACCAACTGTTATCAACTCGGCGAGCGGATATGTGTCACGCTGCCGCGTCGCGAGCGTCTCACTTGGGAAACGAAGGCGGCAAAATGTAAATGTAATCTTTCAGGAAAAACTCAGCGATTGAGTAAAAACCCAGTACTTTAACTTATTAACGTCACAAAGCAATGATATTTCAACGTGATAACTCATGCCGCCCTATACATAAAAATATTGTTTATAAGTTCATAAATATGATATAAAATACCGATTTATAGAAACTCAGCGACCGAATAAAAGTTACTTATCAACATTATAATACAATTGTAATCTAACGCGATGATCACGTCGTCCGATACATAAAGTTTACGACGAATTTGGTCACTTGGATTACATTAGAGATTGCATATTAAAGTATCTAAATGCAGCGACAAAATAATCAACTTTGACAACAAATAATATATGTCTATTATTCTGTTGAATGACATGACAATATAATTATTAAGTATTTAATTAAAAATATTTATGCATTTTATGCTTTTACATTTGTAAAATATAAATATTTTCAACAATTAAATTAAGTTATTAAATTTATTTATAAACTTAATTTAAATAATTTCACACGTAGCACTAATACTAACTTTTAGTATGCACTAATTTAGTAATGCCAGTGACTGCATTCGCTATTACGCATTTATAGACGCAAGTTTATAAATGTGTAATAAAAATAAAACGTTAATTTAACGTAAAAACGCACGTTTTAAGAAATCGTTGTTTCTTACAAGAAAATATACATTCTATGTTTATATGAAAAAAATAATAATAATAATTTTGTGAGAAAAAAGATTTGTTTTATATTCAAATTTAACAAAATCAAAGTATTAATCCTGAAGAGTTAGGTAAGCTTTAAAAAAACATAGAAAAGAAAGATTGTTTAATAGCCAGCGTAATCGGAATTTATTTTGGCAGGTCCACTTTGTTCGGATTTTATCGTTTGTTATATCAAATGTAATTTTCTCAAAACGTAAGAACGACGCTTTATCTATTTTCCTCTCGTTCAACAAATACAAAGAAACGGGATTCGTGGCGCGCTTTTTAAAAGTGACACGTCTTGTTGCTGCGTGACGAACGCAAACGAAACGGATGCAACCAAATTTTAGGTTCGTATCAATTGCATTCGGCTCGCCGAGTTGCTCATAGGTAGGTATTGTATACAGCGAATTGTGACCTAACGCGTCGCATTCTTCTCTCTCTCTCTCTCTCTCTCTCTCTCTCTCTCTCTCTCTATCTCATTTGATATATTTTTATCTTTATATATATATGCATACATAAATATATATATACACATATATATATGTATTTATGTATGTCGTGTTTGCATGTACAGAGCCCACGAGATGCGCTACGTGTATACGTACATATGTATACGAATATGTACAAGTCATTCAGTACGCATCCGCCGGTTTCGTTCTTCTCCCTCCCCCTCGAAGTTACACGCTAATTAGAATATATTTAATAGCCAAAAAATGCAACCCGTAAATTGACTTATAATATATGTATATATACACACACACACTCAATTAATTATATCCGCTACCTCGCGCGCGCCGTTAATCGCAATGATTACGAGTAATTAATACTTAGGTCTCTATACATAAATTGCGGGGAAATGCCGACTCGTCCACCTGATAACACCTCTCTACTCTCTATCGTGGCAACAATAAAGATCGAGATAATATCTCTCGTTTTTGGACGAAACGGTTGCAACTGAAAGCTTGGAAAAATAAAACATACAGTTGAATTATATATAATAATATGCGTAATAATTTTATATAATTTATACTATAAATAACATGCGTAATAATTTCAAATAATTTACATAATAATATGAGTAATAATTTATGTGTCGAGTATCGTAGCTGTCTCGATAAATAAGACGTTGCGCAGCGTCGAGGGGTGTTAACAGATGACGGACTTGATCAGACGACGTGTCGTATCGAGGAACAGGTCGAGGAAGGGCCGTCCGGAGTTAACGTTCTACGGGACGTCCTGTAAGTCCAGCTTTGTAGGGTATATGCGTTTCATTTCATGCTGAGACCGCATAAACTTTGTAATGAAAATGATAGTAGACACATTTTGAGCATTTGAGATTATATAAAGCTTTCTTATCCTTTTTTTTATTTTTTTTTCTCCTACAATGCTGGATTCGTGCAACATATCCTGTATGTACACATCCCATATGTACGCGATCGTATATAGAACTCCCAGTGTCTCCTTTCAGCTCCCGACTGTTTCAGTCCTTCGACTGTACAAATGTTCTTGTCAAGAGAGAGATTACTTGCGCTCAAAGTCTCGCGTTCAAATTGGAGCTTTGGCTGAAGCGTCGTCTCTGTCCTTTTTCTCTTCTTTCATTTATTTGTTTCTTTCCTTTTTCGTCGCGATCGGACCTTCCTGTGTCGCACAGCGACGCGGAAACCCTACACCGTATTCACAGAATAAAATACACGTATATAAGTAGGTACACATCGTGCCTCGACGCGTCGGTTGATATTAAATCGTAAATCTGTTTAACACGCAGAAAAAGTGTCGTGGAGCCTTCTCGTCTAGGTAGATCTATTGACCAGTTTTAAGCTCATTCCTCTCCTCCCGATAATCTCGTTCCCTACGCATAAACGAGCCGGCTTATCCTTTCTTCGCCTTCATCTCGACCATCAACTCGGAATATTTGCATTGATCGGTCTTAACTTCTACTTATATGATACACTATTGTTTCTCGCGAATGCAACGAATTAGGTAAACACGAAGTCTCACCGTTCGAGATACGACCGACCTCTCTATTTCGCTTCTTCTCTTCTTCTTCTTTTCGTTCGATCAGTAAATTTTTCGAAACGTCTTTCAACGGGAGTCCGATCGAAGCGTACGCAAGACGAACAGCTATCGGTCTTAGCCGCAGTGGAATTTCGTGTTTGCCAAACCAGAGAAATGTAAAGCGAACTCAGTCTTTGGTTGGAGCGATCCTCAAATCTCGATTCTCGACGTTTTATTTAACTTTAATGGCTATCGGATTACCTTTAACATTAATAAATTTTATATAAAAATCCATATACATCCGCTATACGTTGTTCTTAAAGCATTCCAACTAAAATAAACGGTTTTACCTCTTCTCTTTACAAATACATTCTCGAATCTTTGTTTTTCTTTTCCTCCTTTTCGTTCGCACAAAGTCGCTCGTTCTTCTCAAAATCATTTGACGGAAGAGTTATCGCTTCTTTCGTTTTCAAGGCGTCGCTAGAAATCTCGGTAGCAGCATATATACGCTGTACATACGGCGTCTCTGTTCGTGTATGTGTACGTGTATGTGTTCACGGTAAGCAGATAACGTTTATAAAAGCTAGATACTATGAATACACGAGAGCAAACAAGATGGAGAGAACGGAGGAATTTCGGTTTCACGCTCAACAGTGAATCTGAGAAAAACGAGAGAAACGACGAAGTATCTAAAGAGTATGTACAAACACGTGTCAGAAAACGGATCTCACAAAAAAAAAGAACACGTCCCGACAATGTACAGGCGAAAGTGTGAAGATCTTAACAAAATAAAAAGTCCTATCCAGGATAAAATTTCTTTATTACTCCTCCTTTCTAAAATCGTCTTGAAATTCATAAATTTTCATACACATTTCGCTGTGCGTCTACCACAACAACGTTTCTTTTTTTTTTTTTAATTACAGTTATTCAGTTAATTAATTACCTAAAAGTAAGAGATACAATAAGCGTAATTATTTTTATATGTACAATATATCTGATTTTTTTTTTATTTCATTTTATTACGATTTCAAAAAGTTTCCCTACGATTTTTGTAATCACTCGCACCATAATCTTACTCCCCCTCATTCTCGCATTACGGCTGGCGACGAATCGTTTTATGGCTCGCTACCGCGAGAGATTCCTTTGAGACCAGGCGTTCACAGATCAGAAATCAAGAATTCCTTGTTAATACCGGCGATTATACTCAATGATCAGTGTCTGCATATTTTAACTTGCAACAAATAACAATCAATTGCTGCGTAATCTTAAATTCACCATTCATTCTTGTACGCGGTTATTCTGTTTGTAATAACAACAAAAGTACAACTATCAGTATGTCAAAGAAGAATATGAGAGTCGAGTGTGACTATAAAGGGTACAAAAGTGATCTGTTTCTCTGCAAGGCACTCCGACCAAACAATCGTTCTGATCTCTCTCTCTCTCTCTCTCTCTCCCCCCCCCTCCCCTCTCTCAATATCCTGAAAAGATATTGTTAATTTGGAAAAGAGTCCAGAACACCGTGAGTGCTTATAAAAGTAAAGTATACAGTCAACAAATCATCAGTTCGATCACAAAGATAATCTCTCGTTTCTTCTATATTTTTTAATATTTTTACATTTTCACATTTTGCAATTTGATGAAGAAGACAGAAAAGCAAATGGTGTCCTATAGAAAGACTAAGAGAGGAAGAGAGCTGTTATACATGTTATCTATATGTGGAAAACTCAGGAGAGGTATTATGTTTTTTTTTAATGATAATGAATCAAGTACCGAGTTACCGAAAACGTACACGTTTTATCTAGAGGAAGTTTGTGTCGGTTAAATGTACGAGTACGATGAGATATTTTGCTCGAGTAAACTGTAGATACATTCGAGATAATTTGTTCAGTTGTATCAACAGACTCTACCTCTCGAACTTTGAGGCGAATTACATGTACACCAGTGAAGGGAACGAATGCCACTCATAATTTGATGACGTTGCTTTCTCGGAGGATAACGTTGAGATACCTGCCCAAACAGAGATTTAATGGCACGCCCGAATTTTATTAGCATGCTCGAATCTCTCAATATGCCTATAACACGTGGCAAGATTCACACGGGTTTGAATTCCGACATTCGTATCCGTATTTGTATACTCGAGAGCCATAAGAATTCTATTCTACAAATAAGAACACGTATCGAACAGCTTTTTGACGTTTACGTTTATCTACGGTACGGTAGAATACCGAGTCTGTGAGAGGACAGATAAAAGTGTGATATG